ATAGGCCTCGACTAGATGCCTAAGAGTAAGACATGAACGGGACCATGACCACCGCATCCACATCTATAGCAAACTTGCTTATCTTGATTAGATTGTGGAGCATTGATGTTATGATTTTCTCTTCGGCATGTATGTTCCTCAACACCATTACCTCGTCCTACACCTCGAGTCCAAACATGATTACGACCTCGACCACGTCGATGACCACAACCATGACCACGACCACCGCGGGGTGGTTGGGTATGATATCCTCGACCTCTTCCTCGCATAACATTATTATGCTCGTTGGTAGTCGCATGTGCTTCAGGCACTGCTTGAGTTCCAACAGGCCTAGTATTATGATTTTTTATTAACAAATGATTGTGTTTTTCGGCCACTAGTAAAGCAGAAATTAGCTCAGAATGTGTTGTATAGTTTTTAGCCCTGTACTGCTGTTGGAGTACAAGGTTATTAGCATGAAAAGTGGATAAAGTTTTTTCAAGCAACTCAAACTCAGTAATGTTCTGCTTACAGAGTTTGAGCTGTGAGACAATACGATGGAGGGCCGAATTATACTCAGTAACAGATTTAAAATCCTGAAAACGTAGATTAAGCCAGTCATATCGTGCTTGAGGGAGGATTATGACCATTTGTTGGTCAAAGCGATCCATCAGGGATCTCTAAAGATTTGCGGGCTCTTTTTTTATGAGAATTCATTTTTTCAAATCCTTATTTAGATGGTGACGAAGAAAAATCAGTGCCTTCGCCTTCTGGGCTGGAGTACTATTAGATGTAGAATCTATTGTAGCACTTAAATCAAAGGAGGTCAGATGAATCTCAACATCAAGGGCCCAAGTTAAATAATTACTTCCATTAAGAGCGAGCTCAATAAATTCTCTTTTGGTAATATCAGACATTGTGAAATTCTAGAATTTCAAGATATGCGAAAAATATGTGATTATTTATGATTGAGAGAAAAATTACCTTCAAGAATAATTCTGATAAAATAACGATTTGTAATATTATGATTTCTGATACAGAAGATCGTCTATAAGACGCGACTGTAGAGCATACTCTCTTCGTATTACAAATCAAGCTCTAGAAAGCAGAGACTCGTGCTGATAACGTGTTATAAAACAAGAGATAAAGAGGAATTAGAAAATGTTATAAAACTAGAGAGAAATAGATAATAGAAAAAATGTATTCACTTGATTGATTTTTATTATAACTGAAACTCATATTTATAGGAAAACTTCTGATGACACAATCATAATAATACAATTATATCAGTGGCACATAGTCATTCACATTCACTATTTTAATAAAATTATTGGTGTTGGTTGAGCCACCAACTACCTTCATAATTATAACAATTTTGCCAAAATTTATATTAAAGACAAAATGATAATTACCGCGTGGCCTTTACATTTTATGGAATGTCCATAACTGGGGATGGATAAAATTCATTGACCCATGCGGATTAAACGATATGTATAAGCTTTTACTAATGTTTTTAGGATAAAATTTGAAGGTTTATTATAGTCAAGAGTGATGAGTGATCACTTATTTCGCTGCCTTATCTATTTATCCAACCCCATTGAAATATTCGACTTTTGGATTAACTTTATATTAGTCGAGAAACGATCCTTTGCTTCATTGTATTTTTTTTTTCCTAATCGATTTTATTTTATTAAAAATCGAAATTTAATGGACAATGGAAGAGAAAATAATCACGCACCTAACTCATGTTTTGTACGTCTGTGGGAACTCAATTTTGACCGTTTAGCTAAACCTTATCCGTTGACCAAATGAATGGGCAGTGTGAAAGAACTTTAAGAGCAATCTCCAATGGATGATTGTCCATTTTGGGTTGTATGGCATGAGAATGGAAGCTAAAAAATTATGTCTCCAATGATAAATGTTAATTGTGATTTCGTTTGTGATGTGTTGAATTTTAATTGGTTGAAGAAGATAAATAAATTAAATAAATAGAAATATACAAAAGAAGTTGTCTAGAAAGGCTTCTACATCTAGAAAGCCTTCTAAATTTTTTTCAAGCCATATAAGATTAATTGTGACATGTGGCAACAAAATAGAAAAAGGAAAAGACCATTGGAGATGCTCTAAGCTGTATCAAAGCCATATACATTTTGATAACTGGTTGTTGACCCAGTTCAGACCTTCTCCAACCGAACGCCATATCTCATTTTTTGCAGCAAAATTGCTCCACCCGAACTCCATATCCGATCGCAAAATGCGTTACCCTTCTTCTCTCTCCTCAGTTTGCTGCAAATTTGCGTCCAGACGCATTCTTATGCGTTCAAACTTTTTTTATTTCAATTTGGTCCTTCAATTTTATTTCTTATTTATAATTGACTTTA